GTTGAGAATGTGATTCCATGAGTTGAGCATGCATTATATATATATGTATCTATTTTACTCTACCGAGCCGCGCTATAGTCGATCGGGTACGGCACCTATTCTGCAACCACTGATCAGTTAGGTTTTATCGAGCTCCACGTGGTCGGGTACGATTCTACCGAGCCTTATGATGGCCGGGTACATTTTTACCGANATGAAGAGTTGGTCCTAATAATGTGTATAAAGGTTACCGACCTTACATCACTCCGAAAGGTTGAGAATGTGATTCCATGAGTTGAGCATGCATTATATATATATGTATCTATTTTACTCTACCGAGCCGCGCTATAGTCGATCGGGTACGGCACCTATTCTGCAACCACTGATCAGTTAGGTTTTATCGAGCTCCACGTGGCCGGGTACGATTCTACCGAGCCTTATGATGGCCGGGTACATTTTTTTACCGAACCTATTATGGCTGGGTACGATATGATGATGATGATGCCCACAGAGGCGTATGTTTTAAAAGTTTATGTATACATACATATGTATCATGCATTTCATGTCATTAGCCCTTAGAGGTACTCAGATGTTCAAGGTGGTATATTCTCTATCCCTGCTTACATTACTGTTCGTATTTATGGTTCCCTGCCTTACATACTTAGTACTTTATTCGTACTGACGTCCTTTTGTTTGTGGAAACTGCATGTCGTGCTGCAGGCCCTAATAGACAAGCAGGTGTAGCTCCCCCACCACAATAGGTTGTCTAGTTCAGCAGTGATTGGAGAGATCCCTTCTCCGGACTTGCCGTGGTCTTGGTATGCATTTTTGTTATAGACATTATGGGTATGTCAGGGCCCTGTTCCGGCTATGTTGCAGCACTTATGTTCATTTAGAGGATCATAGACAATTGTCGACTCATGTATAGTTTGGTATGCCTTGTCGACTGGTTTTTGTTGTATAGTCTTTCATGGTAGCGTGGTAGTTCGTACCTTATATGTAGTTTCTTGATTGTCTGGTCATCCCCTGCTATGTATGTTCATGCCATCATATTTTATTGTTGGTTGTCCATGATCCATGTATACCATTTATATTGATCTCGTCAACCCTAAAAGATAATAAAAAAAGGTTAGATAAAATGTACGTTGGTGCTCGGCAAGTATGGTCGGGTGCTAGTCGTGGCCCTCCAATTTGGGTCATGACAATAATAAACTTGGAGTTTATTGATAATTGCACATGTCATGGTGTAAACCTGAAGTTTATCAATATTGATAATTTATTCAGTTGGCATAATTGGTTTAACCATATCAATTTAAGTATGATGTGTAAAAATAATAGAGAATTCACATGGGTAAATATTAAAGAACTAGAAAGTTCTTTATGAATTCTCTTATATTGATTGTTCTCATTAATTAATATACCAACTAAAATTGGGATTGAATCCCGTGAATGCTGGAAATATCAAAGGTGAATATGGGCTCATTCACCTGCCATGTATACCACGCAAGATGCATCTATGAGATGGTTACACGTGCGATTATTATCAACCTGCAACCTGTTGTTGGCGAGGTAACTGCTCAATAATTTAATTTAAAGCATATTCCAGATTTTTTTTATTCAAGATAGTTCATCTTGATAAGTTGGTTTACATCACAGTTGGTTTAGCAAAATGATTTATTGAGTGCCTCCACTTCATAGCTAAACAATTGCTTATGAGAACAAAGTTATCTATATCAGTTTGATATAGGTTATATACGAAAGTATATTGCATTCTCCCCTCAGTGGTTCAGGGTCAGGAACCAAATAATTCCATCTTTATATTATTGCTGTGCGGTGTATATTTTGATTAACACCATGATACACAAAGATGAGCTTTCAAAGTTGAGAAAGCAAGTTAGTTTTTCTAACATGAGGGGGAGACATGATAAACAGTTGAGAAAAAGTTATGTGGAATGAATTATCATTTGTATATCTAGATCATCGAATACGATAATATGAACTTGAAGTTCATAAAAAGATAATTCATCTGCAATATATTACAAAGTACGCTAGATGCATTTGCTGACCCAAAGAAAGTAACTATATTCTCATTGCAAATGCTCCTATTAAGTCCTAGAAGGACAAAGTCTATGGTACGCTTAAATCATATAGACAAATCGGTTTCAAATAAACTTCTTGATAAAGAAGATGAGCAAATGATCAAAATGATCATAATAAAGGAGGCAAGTGATCTAGAAGATCACATGACATAACACTTCATAAAATCTCATGAGAGATTCAGGTACCTGAATATATGAATGAAGAGATCTCTATGCTATGTCTTTATAAAAAAATGTTGGAATCGATATAAAATGTTCGTCGATGACATCTATCATAGCACTAAGTATAGATGAGGATCTTAAGTCTATCGAGTATAGACAAAAAAAATTTGGCCAAATAGAAGAGACGCAATTCGAATAGAATTGGTTTCATATGAAAGACAAGTATTTGGACCTGCAGTTCAAACACTTGAAAGTATAAAGTCAATGGTATGTGCAATCAGTTTTCCATATCTTATATGTCTAGCATGACATGAAAACTTGATATGCATCTAAAGTCTCTTTAAATGGCTTATTTGACTATACTTATATGACAATCCTCAAAGGATTTAAATTGCTTAAAGCATATACAATTCTTGATCTTGAAGTACTACTTCCTCAGTGCAATTTGTGCACAAATGTATCTTGCTATAACTATAAGCATGATAATGTGATAGCGAGAATACCTCTATGGAGATATTGAAGAGCCATTCCACGATATTTATGAAGACATTATATATGTATCACGAATGATGATTTCAAGGTGCAAAATATTCATTCAAATCTGATTTATTTATCAAATCTCTACCAACGATCTCTTGAAGATGGTGCACAAGATTGGAATGTGAAGACTCAAGGATGTAAATTGATGCTCTCATCAGGGGAGTTAATGCGCGTTGCACTCTTTTTCTCTTACAAGGTTTTGTCCCACTGGGTTTTCCTTGAAAGGTTTTTAACGAGGCAAGCAAAAGGCGTATTATTAGAGATGTGTACTCTTTTTTTCCTTTTCTAGAAATTTTTTTCCCATTGGGTTTTATTTTAGTTAAGGTTTTAACGAGGCACATTACTTATCGAGTAGACATTCAAGGGGAAGTGTTATAAATAGAATTTTATTTATGGTGAATGTCCATATTTAGAGAGATTCTAGGGTTTGTTATTTCGTGGCTAAGACAACCTCTCCCTATAAATAGAGGATTCCATTCCGATGTAAATCATCACATATCAATAAGAATTTCCTCTCTCTACTTTGCTCTGCAATACTCTTCTTCTTCTTTTATTATTTTATAACATATTGTACAATTTTCTCTTAATATTCTGGCTTATGATTTTTCACCGTAAATTTCATGCCAATTGGAAAATATTTATAACCTCTGGAAAAAACCTTTTCCACTATGATAAGGAAAGGTTACATGCTTAGACCTTTTCCTTGCACAATTCTAAACCAAGTATAAGTTTTCTTTTATGGAAAACTAAATCTCATTCAATTGGGTTTTGCCGAATAGTACTTTCACGTGACTGTTCCAACTCCAAATTGGAATCACTTACTTTCATATTTATAACATACTAATCCCATTCCAAATGGGATGAAAGTGCACGTGAATCAATCCAATTCCAAATTGGAATTACTTGAGAAGCCATTTATTAATATTATTTTATATACGTCTTATATACATATAAAATAAATTCTAATTATATATATCACATATATATCTTAACCAAGAGACATAATTTAATTTTCTATTCCAAATAGAAAACTTCAATTTATTCACAATATTAATTATATCCTCTGTGCTAGCAAATGATATAATAATATTTCATTTGGACTAATAATTTATTTATTTGACTAATTAAATTCTTTAATTTAATTATCAAATACTAAAGTAATTAATCCTTTAGCAAAAATCGGAACACTCGTTAGTGTGCGACCCCATAGGTTCAATACTAAGCCGGTAGTAAATTGATCACATCAATATACTAATCAAGGTGTCGTCTAGCAACACTCCTTAACAACCGGATAGCATGAAATATACAATTTACTCTCAAGAACCAGTAGAAGAATAATATAGTAATTCCTTCTGTCCTTATAGCTCTGGATCACCCTAGGATATGGTTCAACTGTCAAATCTTATTAGGCGACCAACTATGTGTTCATGTCAAATATAATCGACCATTGAATGACCTAAGAAACTCTTTTCTTCTTCATTCAATTGCCCTGGTCAAGGTCTTAGTTTGGTCATTTATAATTCATGACAATATGGAGCTTAAACTCATTACCGAGAGTTGACAGATTCCATCTTGATCAATCTCTAATTCTACAAGTATTTAATCGTACCTAATATCCTTTCAACTATCGCCCTAGGACCATAAGTGTCTGGTATCAAAACACAATAAATAACTTGTCAATTACTATGACGATCTCAAGTCAAAGGAAAATCTTACATCACATTCTTCAAGAGAATACCCTATTGACAGTTTATGGTAATTCTAACCATTAGAAATTATCCAATGAGTCGGTTCAATTATCATATCTCTATATGCATCATCTATCTATGTGATTCGGTTAATGAGATCAACTAATCTTTATCCCATAAAGACAATCACATAAATATTGATCTAATCGGATTACTAATGTCCAAATTAATAATCCTACGATCAAGAACAAATTTAGATTAAATTGTAAGAGTCTTTGCTCTCATTATCATGATCTCTATCACGATGACAAATCTCAAAATTTAATCAAGGACCTTATCAAATTAATCAAACAATAAATAATAATAATAAAAGAATATCAAATGTCATATATTTTATATCAAATGACGTTCACAAAAATATGTTCAATTAATCAAATATGATATTGGATCTAGGTCATATCTACTATATCCCTAACATGTTTCTCGTCCTGCACTCTCTGCAGGTAAATACATTAGCTATAACTACTCAGACATGACATGGGCACCTTATGGTGCATTCTGGCGCCAAGCTCGAAAAATCTACCTCTCCAAAATATTTAATCGCAAAAGGCTTGAGTCATTTAAGTATATTCATGTTGAGGAAACACGAATTTTGATTTCTTGTCTTCACTCTCTCTCAGGAAAGCCAGTTTTTCTCAAAGACCATTTCCCTCAATTCACACTTTGCACTATGAGTAGGATGGTTATGAGTGTCAAGTACTATAATGATGAATCAAAATCAAATACTTCAATAGTATCACTTGAAAAGTTGCAGTGGATGCTAGATGAATCTTTTTTACTTAATGGGGTGATCAATCTTGGGGATTGGGTACCTTTACTGAGTTGCTTCGACTCACAAGGGTACGTAAAGAGAATGAAGGCATTGGGAAAGAGTTTTGTAGAATTTCACAACTCTGTGCTTGAAGATCACAAGGCTAAAGCAAAGGAGAAATCATTCCAGAGGACACGGTTGATGTCATATTGCAGCTAGTTGATGACCCTAATCTTGAAGTTAAGCTTACTAAGGATCACTTGATGGGATTAATGCATGTAAGCTTATATAAAACTTAGCATAACACAACAAAGTCCAAAAAGATCGTCCGCATTCCTTTTTAAGCAATTTAACTATATTAATGGATTATTTAGAGTAATTTATTTCTACTTTTTGAAACCTAAAACTGCAAATCATTTGAAAAGGCCCAATCCCAGTTTTATTTTCTCAATTATAGCGCACAGAATATTCTATTATAGCTCATAAAAGCTTCAACCAGTGCATTTTAATAGTTGGTGAGGTAGCTTACAAACTTACTTTGCTACCCAGTTTATCAGGAGTTCATACAGTATTTCATGTTTCTATTCTACGGATGTACTATGAGGATCTGTCACATGTGTTGGATTTTTGCTCGGTGCAATTGGACAAAGATTTGACTTATGATGAGGAGCAAGTGGCCATTTTGGATAGGTAGGTTCAAAAGCTGAGGTCGAAGGATATTGCACCGGTGAAGGTTCAGTGGAGAGGTCAACCGGTCCAGGAGGCAACTTGAGAGACCGAGCATGATATGCATAGCAAATACCTTCACCTTTTTGATATCTCGGATATGATTCTAAACTCGTTCGAGGACGAACGTTTGTTTAATAATGGGAGAATGTAACAAACTCACTGGTCATTTTGTGTATTTGAGCCCCATTCCCATATTTTATGCTCCCAATATACTTAGTTGTCATTTTATGACCTGTAAGGATAGTTGGTTTGATTTAGGATTTGGCCAAGGTTTGACATTTGTGTAGACGACCTCGGAAAGGTATTTTGATGGTACCAATAGGTTTGTATGGTGACTTAGGCGTATGCACGGATTTGGATTTAGAGGTTCCTACATTGAATTGGTTCTATTTGGTGAAAATTGGAAATTTAAAGGTTTGAAAAGTTCATAGATTTGATCGGCAGTTGACTTTGAAGCTATCATATTTGGATTATTATTCCAGAAGTTGGAATAGGATCATTATATCATTTGGAACTTATGTGCAAAAAATTGGGGTTATTCCGAGTTGGCTAGACGAGGTTGAGTATAAGTCTTAGAAGTTTGAATGTTGAATAGTTCATTGGACTTGAATTAAGGTGTGATTTGTAGGTTTTGATGTTATTTTTTGTAATTTGAGACCTCGAGTAGGACGGTGTTATGTTTAGGGGCTAGTTAGTGTGGTTAGACTGGGTTTCGGGGCCTCGGGTGAGCTTTGGATGGGCTTCGGATAATTTTGATCTTGTTTGGAAGTTCTGTTACAGGTGTTTTCACACCTGCGAGGTTATTTCGCAGGTGCGAGTCCGCAGATGTAGACATGGGATCGCAGATGTGAAGGTAAGCGGAAGGCAGCAGTGTCCGAAAGTGTCGAGCTTTGGGCGCAGATGCGCTAGTTTGGCTGTAGAAGCAGCTCCACAGAAGCAAGACTTGCTTTGTAGAAGTGGAGGGTTGGGGAGTCAGTTAACTTCACAAATGCGATGGGATGGTATGCAAAAGCGAAAGTGTTGGGCAAAACATATTTTATCAAAGGTTAATTTCATTTAATCATATTTTGAGACTGCAGCTCGTATTGAGGTGATTTTTTAGGCTTTTTTCACCCACTTGAATTAGGTAAGTGTTCTTGACTCGAATTTGATTATTATTCATGATTTTATCCTTGATTTGGTATTTGATTGGTGAATCTAAGCGACAAAATTGGGGATTTTGGCAAAATGTTTCTAAAATGAAGAATGGAGATTTGAACCTCGATTTGGAGTCGATTTTGGATAAGACTTGTATATTTGGAGTCATATTTGAATGAGTAGTCGAAATCTGTGACTTTTATCGGGTTTTCGGAAAGCGAGCCTGAGTTGACTTTTTAGTTGACTTTTTGATATTTGATAAAGATCAGAGCTATATTACTTGTGATCTGTTCCTATGGCTTTGTTTGATATTAGTGTGTTATTTTTTTGCTAGATTTGACCCGTTCGGAGGTCGATTCGAGAGGAAAGGGATTTTAAGAGTATTGTTTTGTCTTATTTGAGGTAAGTATCATGCATAAACTTGTGTGAGGGAATACCCCCTGAAGGTTTGGCTTTAATTGCTTATTCGTGTTATGTGAATAATGACGTCTAGACGAGATGACGAGCACGGACACGGGTATTATATGTGGCTTATGACTGGATTAGACCTTAGGCTATTAATATGCCTAAATTTGAGGATGTATTTTATATGAAACATGCTTAATCACTTTGTGGCTAGTGAACATGATCACTACAATTATTTTAGTTGTAGTAATGCTTTATATGTTAAACACCCATCCGCATATTACTATTGTCATGTCCTTGTGCATCTTGTTTATAAATTATGAGCTTATATCTTTAATGAAATTTTGGCTTTATTATTTTGTGATAATTGTGGAACATGTGGACACGTTGAGTGGATTAATTATGTGTTGGCATGAGGTCTTTGTTGTGCAATTGTGATTATTGTTGTGCGCATGTAGCGAAATAAGGGTGATATTTTCTTTGGTTGCCCACGTGGCGAAATAAGGGTGGTGATATGTGCGTTTGACGAAATAAGGAGGGAGTTTATTATTATTTGCGCATGCGGCAAAATAAGGGTCATATTGTTGATGATGTTATGTGATGAATTGGGGGTGTTTATCATGATGTTGTTTATGTATTGAAACAGAGTTGATATTCTAATAATATGCATGTTTCTTAAAACTCCGTCTTGTGTTTTTAATGAGTTAATTGAATTTTGACTTTCTATCATATGCCCTCACTTCTATTCGATGATTTGTTGACAAAGGTGGATTCTTCGATGTTGAGTTGTTATCACATGTTCTAACGAGATTTTTGATACTGTTTTTCATTACCTATTGTATTGCCAATTATTGATACATATATTCCATAGGTTATTTGACTAGTGAGTATCATATGACTTGAACCTCGCCACTACTTCACCGAGGTTAGTCTTGATACTTACTGGGTACCGAATATGGTATACTAATACTACACTTCTTTATTTTGTGCAGATCTAGGTGTTGGAGGCAACGGGTCTTGAGAGTGAGAGCTTGTATCGGCCGTGAGGATTCAAGGTAGAGCTGCATGGTATCATAGTCCCTTGGAATCTCATCCTTTATGTTGATATTGTAAATTTTACATTCAAACAATATTGTATTTTGATTATTCTGTATGTATTCAGTTAGAGCTCATGAATCTGCACTACCTAATTATGAGGAGATGTTTTGAGTAGCACCATTTTGGCTTGTGGTAACTCTATTTTTGCTTTTATACTAAACTTTCTTATTGTATCACATTTTATTGATTTAATATTGTTACGTGATAGACTTACTTAGTCTTAGAGTTTAGATTCCATCACGACCCCTTTGGTGGGATTTAGGTCGTGGCAAGGGGTTAAAACTAACAATAACAACCATGCTACTCCCTATCTTTATTAATCCCCCCCCAATTCATCCGCTTCCACACTCTTCTTGTCTGCTCATTCTGCATAGAACATAACGTACTGTCTACACATCACAATTAAGCATCTCATTATTCTGAAATCTCCCTCCCTGAACCAAATTGAAAACATAACATGAGAAGGAAAGCAAATGTAGAAAGAGAGTAGAGAAGGGATAAAGTTGAGGAGTGATGCACTTGTGGTAGGTGCGGCTTTGGAGCAACCCATACGTGGTAGTTCTAGCAACGGTTGATGAAGAATTAAGTCGTTAATGGACCACTATATTTAAGTAAATTGGCAGTCGAATCTACTCAGCTAGATAAGACGAAACACTGGTCCTCCTTTAGTACTAAAAAATCTAGGCAACATCTACTATCTCAACTTCATCCTTCACTGCCTCACTTACACCCCTTCCTTTGCCTTTTTTGCCTTCAATCTCAATATTCCTCTTCTTGTGATTATCATTGCACCGAATAATCATTTCTAGAGAAGAAGAAACAAAATTTTGATTGAGTTTTCTTCTTACCCTTTCCTTTAATCGAAGCTTTTCTTTAGAGAACTAGGGTCATAAATATTGATTGAAGAATAGGGGGAATAAAGAATGGGGATGAGATTATAGCCTGTTTGGCCAAAAGTATTTTTGTTTCAAAGGTGTTTGGCCAAACTTTTATAAGGAAAAAGTATTTTTGAGTAGAAGCAAAAGCAATTTTTGAGAAGCAGGAAAAGAAGCTTTTTCCCAAAGGCTATTTTTTTTTAAAATATACTTAAAAGCAATTTTTAAAAGTTTAGCCATACACTAATTGATGCTCAAACGTATTTTTTTTAAATTAATTACCTAAACAAAAATTGTTGCTCACCTAAAATACTTTTTCGAAAAGCACTTTTTAAAATAAGCTAATTTTAGAAGTTTGGCCAAACAGGCTATTATCTTACCGCTAGTTTTGGTTGTAGAGTGTGGAAGTGAGACAAATTAGAGGGGGTGTGGTGGTTGCTTGGTTCTGTTTTTAAGGAGAAAGGTGAGAAACATGTAGGCCTCATTTGTTTGCACTTAATGTGTTACACCTCATATTTTCGTATGTGAGAGTACGTCGTAAGTCAATTGATGTAAGCTCAGAAATGAAATCGTCTTTGAAAGTATATAAAGTAAATTAATCATGTTACCTTGGAGGTTACAACTATTTAAGATCATAATTAACAAGTACCATGAGGGTTGAAAGACTAAGAAGTTAAACAAACTGACGAAAATAAGTTTCATCAAAAGACGATAAGTTTGGAATGTTATAACATGCACTTTGGTGTGAGACTAGGGTTCTTAGCATGATAAGGAGGTTATGTTATGAGTTGTTTTAGGCTTATGATAGTCGTGTGTTATGTTTTGAAGTCAAGCGAGTTGTGGAACAAAAGTTGGCAAATGTTATCACAAGTTATATTCAAAAATATGCTGAAAATTAGGTCAAATATAGCGGAGTTTTTATCCCAATATACTTGGAATTATGGGATGATCAATATATCAAATTGAAGATCTATGAGTCTAGTTTATAACTCATTAAACTGTTTATCGATACGATATCGGAGTAGAGATATATTTGCAGTTTTGCGAGACTGCACACACTATATAGGTGACAAGTAGGTGTGTCACTCAAGTTTTTTAAGCAATACATTTAGTGTGTTGTATGTGGTCTTTTTGGGGATATATTATATACCAGATTGAATGTCTTAGAATGTAGTTTCTAACGCTCTTAACCGTTCATTCATACGACATCTGGATAAAAGGATATAAGTATCGGAAGAAGGGCCAATGCTAGGGTGCCAAGCTAGTACCTCTTTGACTTTTCAAAAGTTGATATATATAGGTTTTAAATCGTCTTTCTCTTCATTTTTCATAGAACACGACCAGAGAACCCCCATAACTTACCCTTAAGCTCTTTACAAGGGTTCCAAAGAAGATTAATATCCCGGGTACAAAATCAAGAAGCGATAAAGTCAAACATCAGCTTGGTTGGTAAGCTCCACTTCCTCGGAGTTACCAGGTCTATACCTTGGAGTTCATTTTATATATATAGGTTTAATGGGTAGGTTGAGGCCTTTTCCCGATCATGATACAGTTTAGTCATCCTTAGAGTCTTGTAGACGAGTCATGTACATTTTTTATATCAGTATTGTGGCTTTACCAGCCCTATGTAGATGTTTAGTTTGGTATTACTGGTTGTAGATGTTATTTTCAAATGATTCAGAATATGGCCTCATCAACCTAAGTTGAAGGTTATCCTTCCAGAGTTTACAATTACAGAGTGGTTTGCTCGGGCCGAGTATGGCACCGGGTGCTGGCCACACCTCTTCAGGTTTGGGGCATGACAAACTTGGTATTAGATCAGTTATATCCAAGGGAGTCTATAAGTCGTGTCTAGTAGAGTCTTGTTTATGGGTATGTTGTGCACTTCACTAATAAGCCGGAGGCTATATGGCATTTAGGACTTTCACTCTTTCTTCTTACTCTAGATCGGGTGGTAGAGCTCAGTTGTAAGATTTAAACTTCTAACTTTTATTTTATTCGTAATACTACGTTACCTACATCCAGAAAGACAGTTGGTAAGACAATGAATGTGGATGTAGAAGAGTTGAGTTAGAAGTACTCGATGTTGCATCATACTTATGATGAGTAAATGCCAGGTCTTTAGCAGATCATGTGTGTACTAAGACGTGTAAGCTTCTTGATAAGGAACCCTAAGGCATGAGTATCTATCCACCTATATAGTAAAAAGCAATAAGAGAATCAGAAGGTAGATACAAGTTTCAATAAGTAAAAGAAGCAAGGTGGAGAAGGGTACAAGGTACTCAGTTAGTGAAGATTATCAATATTTACAATTCAGGCAGAGAAATATAAGCATTTTGAGTTACTTTTCACAGTAACAGAGATATATACAATTGGCCACACCCATCTCAATTATGCCCTATGGGAGCTAACATTTTTTGTTTAAGAGAAAGATAGGACATCAGGATCCAACTGGGTTAGTGTAACCCAAAATGGTGGATGGATTGTTATCATTAGCAAAAAAAAATTGAAGGATAGTGCAAACGTGGTAATAGGTCTCCTTGTGAGACACCCAGATGGTGCACTCTAGAATAGAACAATCAGATATGAATACTAGAATGTTCAGAAATTTCAGAAGATAGGCAGTGAAATTCTAGAAGGGATAAATAATTACCTTAGTATGACTCCCGTCTCTAGTCAAGAGAGAATATTAGGCGACCCGAAGAGCCAATAGATGGAGCAAGGGGAGCTAAAAGCGAAAGAATGTTTTGTTGAAGTTTTTAGAATAAGGTAATAGACAGAGATATTGGTAGGAGAATAAGTAGAGAGTAAATGAAGTATTATGAGTAAGATGTGATAAATTGGTGATAATAGTAAATCAAAATATGACAGGATGACAAAGTCTATAGTCAAGTGAAGGAAAAGACAAGAGGTGACAGGACTTGAGACAATAAAGAGTAAAAGCCATAAAGTCATATACTTATTTCGAGAAATGAGTTAGTGACTCTAACATGATTACTAGAAGGCTAAGTTAGACCCACGGAGTAATAGAAATTAGTATGGGCTAGTAAACAAGAAAAAAAATCGAACATGATTTAGGGACCGAAAGATTTGATAATAGTCGGCATCGTGTGAATCTCAGAGGTCACGTTTTGGCAATAATAGAATGGACAACAGAAGAATAACCTTTAAAGGTCATTCAGGAAGACGCTTCCCTAAAGCAATCACTTTGAGTAGAGTTAAGCTTAAGGGACTAAGTGTGCCAGTTACACTAGGTATCACCCTCGTGCATAAGAAATTCAGTTATCCGAGGCACAGAAGGGTTACTGCAAGGCGAGTAAGAGCTATTGAAGATGTGAAAAGACGTCGAAGATGAAGAGGTAAAATATTTATAAGTAAATATTCATAGCATTACGTGTTAATACTCCCCTAAAGGGGGAAGATGGTGTGATATGATATTAAGTCGGAGTTAAGTGGTTCAGATAACTATGAGATAATAAAGGAAGAATGCGATAAAATAGTGAAAGGAATGATATTGCATTTATTCAGATCCTACAGATATGCTACGACTCCAGAACATTATGTAAGCACGATGCCGGGAAGAGGCAGTAAGGGTTCCCATACTAGATGTTAGTGATAAATAAGTGCAAATGAACACTTGATACATTAGGAGCCAGTGCAAAAGGTAAGTTAAGACAAAAGACATAACCCAAGAGAGGTTACGCATAATATAAATATGAGCATGGACTGACGAGTAGTTAATAGTTGATTCAGGAAGAGCTTAGTTATGGCTAGATAAGAGGTCTCACATAAATTAGTAGATCATGAAAGATAAACATAGTGAAACCCATCATAGGAAATTCAGTCTCGCAAATACGACATAATAATCCTTGAGAAATATTAAGACAGGAGTTGGGGGTACTAAAAGGTACTATATAAGTGTTACGAAAATAAAAGAGAGTGCCACAGGGGAGACTATCAAAATTTGGGTTCAAAAGTAACCCTACGAGCATAAGGGCATAGAGATAAGTGACTAAGGATAATTATAAGTGAGTAAGAACATCAAAAATTCCATCGGGCATACAATATAATAAGCTCGTATTTTTACAAGAGTCAGAGGATCTCCCCTAAGTGCTACCACAAAAGACTGGATGAGGAAATAAGGAAGAAGGCTTCAACCTAAGCATAGTGACGTAAAGGAGAAATGATCTTGGAACAACCGTCTCACTATAATATTATATGCACTCAATAAGAAAGTGGCATCTATCGTAGCTAATGAACGAGAAGTAAAAAAAATCAAAGTAATATTCGAGATCAGATGGGTTGTGTTACACCCCATATTTTTGTACGCAAGAGTACGAGCCCTATGTAGATATTTAGTTTGGTATTGCTGGTTATAGAACTTATTTTCAGATGATTCAGAACATGGACTCATCGGCCTAAGTTGAGGGTTACCCCTCCAGAGTTTACAATTACGGAGTGGTATGCCCGGGTCGAGTATGGCACCGGGTGCCGGCCATGCCTCTTCAGGTTTGGGACGTGACATAATGGAAGTCTGAATCTTAATCATTCAAATCTCTGATATTAAGTGTGTTTGTTTTTTAAGTCTGAATATTAATTACTCAGATCTTAATCACTAAGTATTTTTTTTATATTTCCCAACCACTTACAAGTCTGAATAGGTCTTATTGATTAATATCTATAATAGAGACTTAATTTCATTAAGATGCTATCATCCATATTAACTACTAACCTCCACTACCGCCCACAATTATCACCTACCACCATGCACCATCCAACCACCGTCACCGACCACCAAACTCAAACACCACCATCCTCAACCATATCTACCGTTGTTATCATTATCGACTACCATCATCCCCAACCCCACTGTTATTTACTACTACCACCCTCCACCCCATTCATTATCAACTAACGCCACCACCATCATCCTCAACCACAACCACCCATCCACCCACCATCATCAACCACCCCACCACTATTATCAACCACAACCACCATTGTCCACCATTATAAACTACCACCACCTTCCTCAACTATAAGTACCACTACCAATCACCACTAGTTACTACCTTGAACCACCACCATCAATCAAAACCACCACCAACGACCACCAACCACCGCCTCTAGTCAGTATCCATAAGCATCACTATCAGTCATCAGTACCATCAACTACCATATTATTTTAAAAAAATATTTATTCCTATAATATTAAATTAATTAGTATTTTATTTGAATTTTCTATTTTCTTGATTGCTAAATAAGGAAAAATTTAATACATTCAGATGTTGGAAAAAATAAATAGTCTTAATTATTTAACATTCAGATGTTAATACACATCTTAAATATTCATATATATATATATATATATATATATTCAAATTCAGACATTTTAATCTTAATACACATCTTAATAGCCAGATGTACATTCAGATTCATACATCTTAATCTTTAAAAACATAAATGAGACCGTAGTCACCGTTAGTTTTAACAACATTCAATTAGTTAGATCAAAGATGCTGCTTTAGCAAAGTTAAGAGATTAAAAATGCTTCATTATAGTTAAAGGATAAAATAAACTTACTAAGGGACAATTTTGATTAAAAACTGATATTTTTCCCTTTCTTTTTTTTTGTTACATCGGAATAAGAGTTTTTGGCAAAAATCATCCTTAAACTATGGCTCAAACCAAGGGTACATCCTTGTCTTATCCTAGTAAACAAAAATCATCCTTATACTATTTAAAAAGTTGCAAAAATCATCCTTCCGTTAAATTTTATCACAAAAACTAACAGCATCGTTCAAAAGACCATGTCCATCACGTGCCTTTTCCCCTCAATTTTTCAATATTATCCCTCCTGCCCAATCGACTTTTCCAAGAACGTGCTGACCGTCTTCTTTTTCCTTCTTAATTTTTGTTTCCTCCCTTTCTTCTTCTTCTTCAAAAAAACTAGTAGGATGAACTAGGTGCTGCTTATTTCTTCTTTAAAGTTGCTCTATTTAATGAACAAAAATGGCCTACACTAAAATAACTTCTCCTTTAAGTTGTCTTCTTATAACAAGCAGATGATAACAAGAGATTGACACGACCTTGAGGTGTAAGTGCATTATGATCATGTAAAATCTTATATTTGTGCCGAGCTTTGATGAGGGTGCCGATTCTCTTTGTGTCAGTTTTATTAGTCTACCTATAAACGAGAAAAATTAAAAGGTTCTAGCTCTAAATCAAGAACCTGAAAGTCTGAAACTAGATTAGTTCTCTTCCATTTGTCGGAGTGAGTGGTTTCACAATAGTTGAGCTAAACTGAAGTTGGAGTCACATTTTAAAAACAAACCTTGCATTATCACCTCAAATTAAAGATAGAATATCAAAATCGTACGTGCAGTGAAATACATGCTGCTGCTTAGAAAGTCAAAACTCTTCCACTATTTTTAAAGGCTTTGCACTTTCCTCTCCAAAAGGAAGGTAGCAAGAAATAGTATAGCATGAGATCGGAGAGTTCCGACTATCATACCATAGTTGGGTGTGAAGTTCATATGGAAAGAAACTTCTAGTTTTGAGGTCTTAGTCCTTTTTGGCAAAGGTGGAAGACGATTGGGTATGAGGGACAATATTGGAAAATTGAGGAGAAAAGGCACGTGATGGATATGGTCTTTTGATGATGCTGTTAGTTTTTGTGATAAAATTTAACGGAAGGATGATTCTTGCAACTTTTTAAATAGTATAAGGATGATTTTTGTTTACTAGGATAAGACAAGAATGTACTCTTGCTTTGACTATAATTTAATGATGATTTTTTCCAAAAACTCTGGGAATAACTTATTAAAGTTCTTAAAATTTTACGCTCCGTACGCTACTAGATAGATTATCAAAGAGCGAGCAAAACCAAGTAAAAGTTGTAGCTACGGTCCTAACCCTCCACAATAGTTCTCAATGTCCGTAACATTCTCTCCCACTCACTCACTATTCGCTCCTCCAACTCTGCCATTCAAATCCTCCAACTCCACCAATTCCTCAATATTTGCAATTTTCAGCTTCAAATGCCAAAAGCATGTAATCCCAGGAAATGGGAAGTCGGGTTCCCTCCGCAAAGGAAACAGATCCCCAGAATTGAAATTGAAATCTTCTGACCAAGAAATGGAAACCCAAGATTCCGCTGAAACTGCTGAGATTAGTGTTGGCCTTAGCAGCAGCAGCAGCCCTTCTACCAGTTTACTGTCTTTTCTTTGCCCCTTGCTTAAACTCTTTTCAGTGAGTTTGTTCTTTTCCTATATTGCTTTACTGTTGTTTTCTTCTTTCACTCTCTTTTTCTCCTCATTTCAATATTGGGAAATTTGGGATTTCTCATTTAAAATAATAAACCAACTGCTTCCCAGGGGATGCGTCTAGTCTAAGGTCATGCCTAGTAGTTTGTTCATTGTGCTGCTGATTCTATTTTCTGAATGTTATTTGTTTCTTTTCTGCTTTCTTCATGCAAAAATTATTTTACATTCTTATGTTTATTATAATATTGTTGGTCATCATGCAGGGAGGAGACCCCTCAAGCAAAAGAAACTATTTATTGGAGGTACTATCACGTTATAAGGTCTTTGAGTTTTTTTTTACATTTTAAGTGGTAGAGTTCTGCACCTGTTATTTGTGCACACTTTTGTCTTCTGTTGCTCTTATTTATTGTCACTGGTCATGCATTGTAAGTATTGGTATAGAAGTCATTCAAATAGGCAAATATAATTACTTTGAGGTTGATAGACAATTAGAATGGAAAAAGAAAAACATTGGAGCTAATCTTGGATAGATGATCTAGTCGTGCGTATATCTGCCAAAAGAAAAAGGAATAGTAATTTAAACATTCACAAATGCTTAGGGATCTCTCTATAGGCTAGTGTCTAGTAGCTTGATTTGTATCGAAGCTGCAAGTTTGGATCAGTTAGCTGGTTATTTCCCAGGGTTACCTGTTAAAGCTCAGTGCTTCTCTATTAAACAAATATCCTGTTTAAGTTTTGCTTGTACTTCTCTTTTGTTTTTCCTTCCTGCTGTTACATAAATTCTAGCTACATTAAGGGTATGGTGATTTTTTTTTTTTTTTGGAAAACATTCGTAGTGGATCTTTAGATAATTATGTGTGAGAGAAGTTAAATATATCTAAAGTTAGGCATTAATGCCACTTAATACAAATTACGATTTAAAGAAACTTAAAACATGAGATTGTTGTATGAATCTTGTGAAGGGGAACAAGAAAGAAGGATGTTAAATGAGCACAAAAAGATCATGAGATGCAGTAGTGAAAACTCAGAGACTTAAGAAGAAGGAGGACTCAAATTTTCCACCAGTTATTGACTTCCCATGCCAAATGATTCTAGATTTTGCAGAAATTAACCACTTTTAAGTTTGTAAATCAATTCATTCACTTTGTGATTAGCTTGATCATGCTAACTTTGAAATGTATATGGATTTTGACTATTTCGATATATGATGTATTAGAGATTAATTACCAACAGAAGTGAAAATTAGTAATTTATTAATCCCCTTAGATCAGCAAACAATTAGGTTATTTGTAAGTTACTATTTTCCTTAGAGCAGCATAGACTTTGCTGATGTATGTGCACAACCCTTGAAAACATTGATTTCCTTATTCAGGAAAAGAAGAATAAGAAAAAGGAATTAGTGGTCTGATTTTTTAACTTTGTCTTTCTGAGATAACATGGTTTTGGGTAGATACTAGATAGGAGTTTTGAACTTTGTAGAATTATTTGTGATAGCTACAATCTCATCTAACACATTTATTTCTCTGAACATAATTATGGGGATGTATGCAAAATAGCTGTTAACTTTGTTAGACGAGTTGCTCGCTTAATTTGTTTTAGATTTTTACTTATTGCTGCCATTTTAGCCTTTCATGTTTCACTTAATCTTTGAGAACCTGTTTCTTGTAGGAAGCAACATCCAGACTTTCTACCTTGGCAAGACTTCCATGGGGTTCAAGAGCACAATATGGTAAATTAGGTAGTAAAGATGGTACTAAAGTTAATCCTCCAATGCACCTGCAGATCTTTGAATTTGGTGAGCGTCTCTTTGTTGTGTGCTAAGCTTAAATCATCAGTCCCTTCGAATTATAAACATTAGCAGTTTTTCTGTATCTATGAGATTTGACACGCTGAAGAGATCAGACTGCCGAAAAATAAAAAATCTTTGAAGTATGTTTTTCTCATATGCGCATGAGCAAAAACAAAGTGGAAAGTTCAGAGTCTTAGCTTGTAATGCTCATATGACAAAGTATCAACGCTTATATTTGAAAAATACCCAGCTTGTCATCTAAGAGTTAGGGTCTTTTACCCAAAATGAAGGGGAAAGCTATTTGTTTCCTAGTCAGTTGAACTAGACGAAAACTAGCTTATTTTATTGATATGTCTGCTTTTGCAGTATTCTCTAATCTCTCTCTTCTCAAGCTATGCACACAGCACACTTTAAATCTGGAAAATTCCCTTAAGTAGTGTGATTAATGTGAAACCTAAACTGATTGTAGGAGCATTAAATGTAACTTTTCATACAACTCTAAATATGAACCCTATTAGAAACTTTCGTTAAGGGGTGTAGCATCCACATTTATCTCGTGTAATGATGCAGCTGAATGCATGTGTTGCTTCATAATGGAATAACTCAGGTTCTTATAGGAATTGTCAACAGAGGCGTGCCCATTTTGCAGAAGGGTTAGAGAGGCAATGACCGAACTTGATCTATCTGCAGAAGTGAGTATTGTCTTCAGGATTTAATTTGATAATCCTCATCTCTCCTCATATATGTTGTAATTAGGTGCAATATTCTTGGAGCGAATCATGATTCTAGACTAGGTTCATGTCCACACCGAGTTTCTGATGTCCCATAATGCTCTTCTTAACAAATGCGGTTAGCCTCAGTTGTTCTTTATTTTTTTCTTTTAAATTTTTTTCTGTTTTAGGAAAATCCTTTTTTCTTGTTTCGAAACGAGAGAGTAATGATTTTTGATCCTGTATCTTCAAAATTCCTAGTCTTGGTTTCGATTTTTTCAGATGTAATAGAAACCCTTTAGCTTACCCCACCCTTTACTTGCTGCTATTTTTATATATTTAGAAAGAACATATGCTAAAATAAGTGATATCAACTTTTCCGGTTTCAGTTGCATAAGTAGATTCCTTCCTTTGTTTCTTTTAGTATGATTCCTAGCTCAAAATCCATGGGGTAATAGTTTTGCTGTAAGATCCTTTCACGTAGAAAAAAGAAAACTGCAGTTGCTATAATGAAGTAGTTTGTTAGTGTTTAGAGATAGCTATGTAATTGTCCCACATTGGAATAGGAGTAGTATCCCCTTTGTATAGAGTAGCTATAAATAGCACCTCTTGTATTGCATCACATACTACAACATCAATATATATCATATTTTCTCCCGTGCCTTCTCACATGGTATCAGAGCTATCGTGAGAGATTTATTGCTGTGCATAAATTCCAGCGATTCCGGGAAGTAAAATCAGTCACCGGAACCCTTTTTTTCCGGCAACTTTCAAAGTTGTTTTGCGTCTGCTTTGTCTCGGTCAGTGTTGTGCACAAAATCCAACACTACCACAAGAGTAGTCACTGTCCGGCGACCAAATCCCAGTGAAAATCTCCGGTGGTACTGTAGCTGTCCAAAGAAAATTTTCCGGCGAAGTTCCAACGTTGCGTGGGCCACCTTCCGGCCATTTTTTGGCGACGACTCTTCAGGACAGATTGTTTCCCTTGCAATTCCGAGCCTACCCATCCAGGTTACACCAAATTCCGACCACTTTTTTATTTTTCCGGCGTGAATAGTGATTTAAAAAAAAGTGGACTTCCGGCCATTTTTTGAAAAAGTTCCTTCAGAACAGTTGGGTCTTCTGGTAATTCCGATCCTACCCCTACCATTTTTATTTCATTCCGACCACTTTGAATATTTTTCGGCTGCAACAGTAACTTTCCAACTGCTACAGTAGTTTCCTATTCTGGTTCAGTGTTCCTTACTCTATTTTCAGTGGATTACAGTTGATTATTTCTCTTATTTGGTAATAATTTACAAGATGTCTTTGGGAATTGATGTTTTTGGGTCTAAAAGCATGAGTTCTGGAAACTCTAATGTTATGATTACCTCGGAACCTTTAATGGGAGGTTCAAACTACTTAGCTTGGGCTTCATCTGTCGAGTTGTGGTGTAAAGGTCAAGGTGTGCAAGATCATCTGATTAAACAGTCTAGCGAAGGAGATGAAAAGGCGATAGCGCTTTGGGCAAAAATTGATGCTCAATTATGTAGCATCTTGTGGCGTTCTATTGATTCTAAGTTGATGCCTTTGTTTCGGCCATTCCAGACATGTTATTTGGTTTGGGCAAAGGCTCGTACGTTATACACTAATGATATATCTCGCTTCTATGATGTGATATCACGGATGACAAACTTAAAGAAGCAAGAATTAGATATGTCTACTTACTTGGGTCAGGTACAGGCAGTCATGGAGGAATTTGAGACATTGATGCCAGTTTCTGCTAGTGTGTCAAAACAACAAGAGCAGCGACAGAAAATGTTTCTAGTTCTTACACTCGCTGGACTTCCTCATGATCTTGATTCAGTACGAGACCAGATTTTGGCGAGTCCGACTGTCCCTACAGTTGATGAATTATTCTCTCGATTACTTCGCCTTGCTGCAGCACCAAGTCACCCAGTGATTTCATCACAGATACTTGATTCCTCTGTTCTTGCATCCCAGACAGTGGATGTTCGGGCATCTCAAGCTATGGAGAATAGACGAGGAGGCGGTCGTTTTGGGAGATCTAGACCCAAGTGTTCTTATTGTCACAAACTTGGACACACTCGCGAAATGTGTTATTCCTTAAATGGCCGTCCACCCAAAAATGCCTACGTTGCTCAGAGCGAGACTACAGGTAACCAGGGCTTTTCTGTATCTAAAGAAGAATATAATGAGCTCCTTCAGTATCGAGCAAGTAAGCAAACATCTCCACAAGTAGCCTCAGTTGCCCAGACTGACACTCCTATTGCTGGTAATTCTTTTGCTTGTGTTTCCCAGTCTAGTACTCTTGGACCATGGGTCATGGACTCAGGCGCTTCTGATCATATCTCTGGTAATAAATCACTTTTGTCGAATATTGTATATTCACAGTCTCTTCCTACTGTTACTTTAGCCAATGGATGTCAAACTAAGGCACAAGGAGTTGGACAAGCCAACCCATTGTCTTCTATCACCCTAGATTCCGTTCTTTATGTTCCTGGTTGTCCTTTTAGTCTTGCATCTGTTAGTCGTTTGACTCGTGCCCTCAATTGTGGTATATATTTTATTGATGATTCTTTTATTATGCAGGACCGCAGTACGGGACGGACAATTGGTACAGGTCGTGAATCAGAAGGTCTTTACTACCTTAACTCGCTCAGTCCTTCCACAACATGTCTAGTTACAGATCCTCCAGATCTAATCCACAGACGTTTAGGACATCCGAGTTTATCCAAACTTCAAAAGATGGTGCCTAGTTTATCCAGTTTGTCTAGATTAGATTGTGAGTCGTGTCAGCTTGGGAAACATACCCGAGCTTCCTTTACGCGTAGTGTTGAGAGTCATGCAGAGTCTGTTTTCTCCTTGGTTCATTCTGATATATGGGGTCCTAGTAGAGTCAGTTCAACCTTGGGATTTCGTTATTTTGTTAGCTTTATTGATGATTACTCAAGATGTACTTGGCTTTTCTTAATGAAAGATCGTTCTGAGTTATTCTCTATATTCCAGAGTTTTTGTGCTGAAATCAAAAACCAATTTGGTCTCTATCCGCATTTTTCGTAGTGATAATGCCTTAGAATATGTATCTTCTCAGTTTCAGCAGTTTATGTCTTCTCATGGAATTATTCATCAGACATCTTGTCCTTATACCCCTCAGCAAAATGGGGTTGCAGAAAGAAAGAATAGGCACCTTATTGAGACTGCTCGCACACTTCTAATTGAGTCTCGTGTTCCGCTGCGTTTTTGGGGCGATGCAGTTCTCACAGCTTGTTATTTGATTAATAGGATGCCTTCATCTCCCATCAAGGGTCAGATTCCACATTCAATATTGTTTCCCCAGTCAGCCTTATACCCTCTTCCACCTCGGGTTTTTGGGAGCACATGTTTTGTTCATAACTTAGCCCCGGGGAAAGATAAGTTAGCTCCTCGTGCTCTCAAGTGTGTCTTCCTTGGTTATTCTCGTGTTCAGAAGGGATATCGTTGTTATTCACCTGATCTTCATAGGTACCTTATGTCAGCTGACGTCACATTTTTCGAGTCTAAACCTTTCTTCACAACTGATGTCACTTCTGCTGACCACCATGACATATCTGAGGTCTTACCTATACCGACTTTTGAGGAGTTTAGTAATCCTCCTCCACCTTCAACCACAGAGGTTTCACCCATACCAACTTTTGAGGAGTCCAGTGTTATCCCTCCTAGTTCCCCAGCCACAGGAACACCACTCTTGACTTATCATCGTCGTTCGCGCCCTACATCAGGCCCATCTGGTTCTCGTCCTGCACCTGACACGGCTCCTACTGCGGATCCTGCTCCTAGTACACCGATTGCACTTCGAAAAGGTATACGGACCACACTAAACCCTAATCCTCATTATGTTGGTTTGAGTTATCATCGTCTGTCATCTCCCCATTATGCTTTTATATCTTCATTGTCCTCGGTTTCCATCCCTAAGTCTACAGGTGAAGCATTGTCTCATCCAGGATGGCGACAGGCTATGAGTGACGAGATGTCTG